ATAAATTACTAAATTTAATAAAAATATTAAATATTAATCAGTATTGTATAATAAGTATAAAAAATTAAACATAATAATAATATTTAAAATATAAATATTATAGCGTTTGGGTTAGGATAGGAATTGCTTTCATTTTTATATGAAAAGAAAAACATATATACTATGGAATTAATGGACCAACAATGGTGGGTTCTCGATCTTTCACTATCGTCATTTCATGAAATCAAAGGTTTGGGTTGCTTTCAATGGTCGTTGTTTGTATGAGTTGAAAACAGAAAAATCCATCTTTACAATTTGATGTTTTGATTTAAAACTGTTTGTTTTATCTCCATTACCGATTGTGGCGTCTCCGATGGAGAATCTTTTGAAATGGGAGGCGTAGGAGAAAAAGACGATGCAATTAATACGACGATGGCGGCAATAGATGCGGACCACTTGATGCTCGTTTGTCGTCTTGTGATTGAAATTGGTTCCCATATTTGTGTTGGCACGTTCATTGCATTGTACCTGTTCGATAAAATTTCTGAACCACCGCCATTATGGGGACAACTAGAATTAACCCATTCGCTGCCAACAACATGAAACCGGGTATACAGAAACGAGAACAGTCAACAATGGCAATCGGGTTTGATCACGTTTCTGATATACGCTCTCTTTTGTTGTCTGAATCGATCTTTCAAGTGATGTCATCTGCAGCAGTCAATAACCTTCTTTTAAGTTGAATCACGGATATAGATCTGCCAAACTAATTAACAAGACCCATTTTATAGTAGTGATTGGAGTTAGCGATCCAATACGTCAACGAATAGAATCATTTTCCTTTTCATTCAATTTCCCTCAACCAAGAACAGGACCTTTTGAGAATAGAGTGGATGGTTTAACAATCAATTTGTAGACTTTTGGAAGTGGGTTTGACGAGCTGAATTGGTGTTCAAATCAAATTGTTTGGTTGGTAAAAAATGGGTGGCAATGAGTTTAAGAAGCCACTTTTGAACAAACTATATTATGAAGGCTGTCCTGGGTGTAATCTGGATCAGTATAAAGAGCTAAACACCGGGCTACCTATTAAGGAAGTGTTATGGATATGGACTGTGATGCTTTGCAACGGTAAACAACTGCCATGCTCATATTATCCGTTCTTCTATGACTTGTAGAACATTTAGATTAGGGTATAAATAATCAGTACCAGTTTTCAATCATGCAAAAGAAATGAACTGTGGGTGCTTGTGTTATTAGAAGTTCATGCAATGATTGCTTGCCATCTTTATTCACCGTAGATTATATAAAAATAAGAAAAGAACTATGTCGACAGTGGTTTCCTGGACAGTTGGAATTAATAGGTGCTTTTTGATCGAACATCCCTTTCTGCTTTGGTTGTAGTTTTGGTGTATGGTTTGAAAGCAGTGTTTTTATGGCACCCGGTTGACATTTGTTGTGGCTTATATATGATGTATGATACCTATAGAGAATTATAGAACGTATATCATACAATTTTGGGCTTGTATCAGTATCACGGCCGATTGTTTTCGGCTAAAAGAAAATTTATTATGAACAAGTGGATATGCGTTTTTTACTTAGATTCCAAAGTTAGGGAGCACTTTGTAAGCTTATTATATCAAAAAGAAAAATAAATTGATACACCTTCAATATAATTACTATACCACTTTTCTATCTTAAACCTTACACTAAAAGAGCTATCTAACACCTTGTTGCAATAAGTTTATTTGGATGTTCATGTCTAACATCTATCTCTATTTTCCCTTCTCAGCACTGCCCATATCGTCTCTCTTTCCGTTTCTTTATTTCATGGTAAGTGTGTTTACTTTCTATTTGCTTTCTATCCTATTTCCTATTATTTGATGTTGTAGAACGTTAATGTTTGTTGAGATAAATCTGATTTCTAATAATGAAGTTAGAACTTCAATAATTTAAAGCCAAACCTGATGTACAATCTATATGGTAGAGTTTCTTTTAATTCTGTTTTCTGCTGATCAGCTTCCAATTTTTAGGCTTAATTATTAGCTCACACTTTGAAATTGGCCATTCTGCTCCCTTTTAAACCCTTGGAGCAGGCACTACAATTTAATGGCAGAATTAAAGACGTTAATTATCTTGATCTCTGCTGTAGATAAAGGATTTTCATATTGCGGAAGATGAGGAGGACATTAGTTACTATGCAGGCTTTGTAGGTAAGCTATTTTTGCCCATTATGTTGCATGAATCAATCACACTGGTCGGTTGATGATCATTTCCTACCTCTACTGAAAACATATATCATATGTTCTTCAATCTTTTGAAGGGTCTTCCTTTATGGTTGGAAGGGCACTGACATCTGTCTTCTGGGGAGTAGTGGCTGATCGATATGGTCGCAAACCAGTAATTATTATAGGCACTTCAACAGTGTTCGTAACTACTTGACTTGAACTGTTCTGTACTTCTGTATGCCTGATCCCTTTCGTTCTCATAAAGCTTGTGATTGTTATCTTCTTCAGGGTTATTTTCAACACACTTTTTGGTTTTAGTGTGAACTATTGGATGGCTATCATTACAAGGTTTCTTCTTGGCTTTTTAAACGGGCTACTTGGACCGATAAAGGTATTCCTTATCTTACATCTTTCACTACTTTCACATTAAGATAATCTTTGCATTTTGTATCTGAGTCGTTCCCTAATGTGTTGATAAACAGGCATATGCATGTGAACTTTTCAGAGAGGAACATCAAGCTTTAGGATTATCATCTGTAAGCAATGGGACCCATTTCATTTCCTTCATTTCTCATTCTATAAAAGATATCTACTTCAATTGATCAATATTCAGATGGTCATTATTGTTTCTTAGATGAATAATTAAGCACCATGAACCTTGCAGATGGTAGTGGTTTAGTTTCATTTTTTGCCCTTATAAAACTGATATATTAGGGTTTGATACTAATCCAGAAAAGGTTCAAAATGATCATATGATTGTGTCCGTTCTTCCTTTTCTCTATTCCTTTATTTGGGTTGAATGGAGAAAGTTGCGTTTATACTGTGATATCTTCTGTTTATCTGGAAATTTATATATGAGTGATTTGTTTCAGATTAGTACATCATGGGGCATAGGACTTATCGTTGGCCCGGCTTTGGGAGGTTTCCTTGCACAGGTTTATATCTCCACTTGTATCTTGATATTCTATATGTGTTTGCATGCATCCGAGGTGCAGATAACATCTTAAAAATTGATTGAGAAAGGGTATTTATGTGCAATTCACAACTTCAATAATAAGGGGTCACAATCTTGTTATTTTGATATAAACTCAAGTAGTTATGGATTTGTGTATACTGTACAGCACACACAAACACCTCGATCCATGCATACATATATGGCTGTGTTGTTTGTGTTTGTAAATGGCGATAACATGGCTATAGTTACTGTTGACTTGATGAATTCATGTTAGTAAAACTGCATTATTTTGCTAAAAGAAATTAAAATCCTGTAATGTACATTATGTTCTAAGAGTAACTACTATTCCTATTCCTCTCACACCACAGCAGACATATGGATAATGTTCAATCAATTATTCACATATTACGATGCATATGTGAACCCACATTGCTTTTTACCAATGAATCACATATTGATCATTTATCCGTGCCTTCTCAAACCCTTTGCCTTGCTTATTTGAGCCTTCCTGTATATATATGTGTGTGTGTATGCATGCATAATATCTCCGTGGAACCCCATTTGTTGATGAGATATTGATGGACATTAATTTTCTCTTCTGCCATTAGTGAATTTAAGAATGACCAATTTCGGGTGATGTTTTAGTGAACAACCAGGATTGGCCTGAAAGGATTTTCTATAAGAAATAAACGTGGTTTCAGGGGATACCCTTGTATTTTTAGGCAATGTGCATGATACACACTGAATTGAAATTGTCGGTAGGTTGCTATTCGATGAACAAATTGAATAGTTTCCAGACTTTCGAGAGGTCTGGAATCTCTCCTCTTGAGCTTACGCTCTCTCAACAGTTTTTACAAGAATGAAACAGAATGCCGCTACCAACTACCAGCTACACTATTTATCTAAACACTTTATTATTCAGGAAAAGGGAAAATACCAACCTACCCCTCACTTATTCTTATTAAAGCAGAGACTAAAATAATACTCACTAATTCCTTCTTCTATAAGTAAACCTCAAAGGAGGTTATCAGTGCATTTATCAAGACCAAAGTTGCCAACTCCTCAATGCCACTCTGCTAGCTGAGGAGGTTGTGGTTGATTTTTGGTGGATGGAGGATAGGCATTGTGTAGAATTTTGGGTTTTGAGGCAGTTTGTGTTTTCATACATGGTAATGGAAACCAAGGACTGGAAAATGGCAGATGATTCAGGTGTTTGGTTGTCTTTCTTTTACCACCTTGTCGATATTTCTTAAATTACATTTGCTACTTTATTTACCGAAATTCTGATAACCATTCTGTTTCTTTTCTATATTCATTTCAAAATTTTAACTGTTGGGTTTTGTTTCAAATTAAGCCTGCAGAGAAATTTCCATCTCTAGTATCTCCTGATTCTCTATTTGGGAGGTAATATTACCTCTTGGTTAACTTATTTATTTCTTAATCGTGAGGATACTATTTGCGAGTATTATTGTTGTTTTTGTTACAGAAATTCAATTTTGAGTGCTAACAAATTGGAACTGTGGTTTGTTATGCAGATTTCCATACTTGCTGCCTTGCCTATGTATCTCCATTTTCGCATTAGTTGTGACCATCGGTGCAATTTGGCTTCCGGTGCAGTTTCTTATGCCATTTTCTTGATACTTATATTAGAATGCATTTTAACATGATATGTTCATTTCAATGTTCGAATTCAAATTCTAAATTTACATCTCCATGGCCTGTGAATCCAACCTTCTTTTATGATTATGAAAAATTAACTAGAAATCAAGATAAATTCTTATCCCATTAGATATTACTGGAATAAAGAAATTCTTTTAACCTAAAGAAGTATCATTGAGGATAAAGTAATAGTATATTGTTTGGTAACAAACATAGTATGCAAATGGTAGTTTATGCCCGAATAAACACGGGCTTAACTGAAAATTGAAGATTAATTTTCATAAGAATCAATTATGGGGTTAATATTGGACATTATTTTCAATTTCATCTGATGCAATTATTATAGTGAAAAATCTTTATGTTGATTAGAGTTCATATTGGCCTTTAGGGTTCAAACCTTTATCTATGTGGTCTCTCTTTGTTTTTGCAAACATACATCTTCAATTTTCATGTTCTTTAACATAAATCTTTTTCAACTCATTTTCATGAACCGCAGGAAACATTACACTTCCATAAGAAAGACGAGTTGGAGTCTGCTACCCATGATGCCATGGAAAAAAAGGATGAAGAAAATTCTCTACTAAGCCTCTTCAAGAACTGGCCGTTAATGTCTTCAATCATTGTCTATTGCGTTTTTTCGCTTCATGACATGGCTTACTCGGAGGTAAATTTAACATCTCATCACTAATTATATAACTAGTGTCTTAAATGATCGAACTCAATCTTGCAAGCATAAACCAAGTGCAATTTAACATTTTACCATTGTACTTACCTTTTAGTTGTAAACAAACCATCCTTTCATGAAAATGCCCCAAAAAAAGAAAAGAAAACCACAACACTTTGCACAAATGAGCATTTCTATCAAAAACACTAAGGAACATGGTTATGTTTCGCAATTTCATTTCCATTTGTTCCAGATTGTCGATTCTTTCAGAGTCTACTGCCATCTTTGCAAGAACAACAAATTGGTTTGCAATGAAAAGTCACTAAAATAAGATCCTTTTGATTAAACAACTTTAAATGAGTTTTCAATTAGAAGTATGACCTTCTAATTTTTTTTTAACTCAATGACCTTCATCTGACCTGCCAGCCAGCATATGATGTAAAACAATATATCATCGAAGAAAACTTGAAACCTCAATAGAGGGTTAGATTCGTAAAGTCAGTTTTGTAGAAGGTCAGTAAGCTAAATAGCCCCTAATAGATCATTGCAAATGCTTGGATGCCTATAGTTCATATATTTTATCATGCTTTTAGAACTATGAACCTACAATACATTCGCATATGTTCACCATCATGATCTTAACCATAACATGGTGTTGGCGGTCACAGATTTTCTCGTTGTGGGCCGTGAGCCCTCGGAGTTTGGGAGGCCTGAGCTATACTACTCAGGAGGTTGGCACGGTCCTTTCTATTGCAGGTGAGAACGCAGTTGCCAACTCTTTCAAGTTGGACCAAAATAATTTCAATCTGTTCTTCTCTTTTTGGCCCTTGATAATGCTGCAGCCATTTCTTACTTGATGTTTCAATTTCATTGCAATATTTGTTTATTTGACAACAATTTCAAAGCTAAATTTACTTATTTTCGCAATATTGTCAATACAGATTATGATATTCATTTTGGTACATAAGATTCCCTCACTTCTTTCATTATTGAAGAAACTTGTTTTTGAATCATTGTACTTTGACTTTTCATTGCAAACCAACCATTGTTCTTGTAAATATTCCGCACTAGTAGATGGTAGTTTGTAAGAATGAACAATTGTGGACAAATTGTAGCAACATAAATGCACAAAAAAGAACATCCTACTTCACACTTCTCTTCAAAATATATTCTTGCAAATTCTAGTTTCTGTTTTCTACATTTTTGCAAGAAGAATGGTTTTTATTTGCAATGAAAAGCATGCTAATCATAAAAGTTTAGATCCTCCTTTTGGGTGGGATATTATGGGATTGTTTGTTTGGTTTGGATGCTTATCGCAAAAGTCTTCTTGTAGGGCTCGGCCTTCTCATTTTCCAGACATCATTGTATCCTATTTTTGAGAAGATGATGGGCCCCATCATGGTAGCTCGCATTGCGGGAGTAAGCAATCTTTACTCATTATTTGTCGTACCATTTCTTTTTTAAAATATGAGTCCATTGCTGTTAAAGGTTAACACAACTATCTCTTTTGTAGGTTCTGTCTATACCTCTACTCTCAACTTATCCATATATAGCAATGTTATCTGGCTTAACTCTCGCATTGGTATTAAACTTTGCATCGGTATTGAAGAACGTTTTGTCGGTAAGTTTTTTATGGACTAAATGTTGTGTAATTCATGTAGTTCTCTTGATTAACTTCTATTGTTACTGTAAGATATGAGGGTTCAGTTTTCTTCTTATGTAGTCGGTTTCCATGAACTATTATAAACAAACTTTTTTAAGCTTGTATATAGGTTTGAGTCATGGCAATCACTTTTGCAAAGTGATGGGAAACTATTGCTTGGAAAGGCTTTGCTCCCCAAGCCAAACAAACCCGGTCAACTGCATGCAGGTAGGGTCTGGGCATAATATGTACGCATACCTTTCGTCTACTACCCCAAGGGGGCTAAAGAGACTTTTTCTGTGAAGACCCCGGTAAAAAGGCTTTGGTCCCCAAACCAAAGCAAACAAACCCAATGAATCTCACGTAGGTAGGGTCTGAAGCATAGGATGTATGCAGACCTTCCATCTACCCCAAAGGATTAAGAGACTGTTTCGTGAAGAAACCCCCCCCCCCCCCAAAAAGGTAGAGATGGCTTCCCACGCAAGTAGAGTTCAGGTTGTAGGATGTATGCAGACCTTTCGACTACCCCATGGGATACAACGACTGTTTTGCGAAGACCCCCTGTAGAAAAGGCTTTGCTCCCCAAACCAAAACACACAAACCCAACAAATCCCACACAAGTATGGTTTGTTGGGAGGGGGGGGGGGTAGGATGTATGCAGACCTTTCCTCTACCCTCGAGGGGTAGGGAGACATTTTTTTGTGAAGACCCCCGGTAGAAAGGCTTTGCTCCCCACCCCTCAAATCCGAGGGATCTTGGTGTAGGTCAACCCTAATATACATATCTTATCTTAACGGCAAGAGGAACATCCATTTTGTTCAAAAAAATGCATAAACCACTACAAGAAAATTGGGTTTTAGGACGCTTAAAAATTACATATCCTTTTATAGGACACTTGTGCTTATATGACACTTTTTCAAATAGTGTCCTATTAAATAACTAATACCATATTTTTATCCTAAAAAACTTGTTAAAACATTCAAAAGCATCCAATACACTTATTTTGACAATTTAAGATAGGAAGCTTGATTGATTGGTCATATAAGCTTAATGTCCTATAAAACAGTCTATTAGGACACATAGACATTTTTCATGTCCTATAACCTCAATTTTGTTGTAGTGAACAAAACTGATTTTACGAAATTAAGATCCTGAGTGTTCACCCATTTTGGTTGCTCATTTTTACCAGGTGTCCATCATAACTGGGACGTTCATGCTGCAAAATGCAGCTGTGGTAATCTTCGTCGCCCTTCTCATTTCTAAATTATTTTCTTGATTTTTCAACGTTGTTCGCGTATATAAATTAACTGTTATATTCTATGCACATGTACATTGATAACAGGATCAACGCCAAAGAGGCGCGGCCAACGGTATATCAATGACGTTGCAGTCAATTTGTAAAGCAATTGGTCCGGCATGCGGAGGAGCACTGTGAGTACTCGTTTGTATTTCCTGTTAATAAATAAGACCCATAATCACATCTTATTTACGTTTTTCCGTTTTCTTTTTGTAGTTTGTCTTGGTCCCAACGGAGACAAAATGCAGCATTCCTTCCGGGTACGTCATTTAAGTTTATGCACACAAATTCATATTGATTTGACCTTCTTCGTGTTAATGCATCTTTCAAAGATATATCTGATGAAACTTCTTAGATTAATAAACAACCTTCTATGAACAACCAAATTAAAGGCATTGTTTCCGAAGGAAAGTACAGTAAAAAGAAAACATATCGCATTCTCGAGTTACTTTTAGGAGAGAAAAAGGGAAAGAAAAGGAAGGAAATGTTGATTTTACTCCCATTACTTTCCTCCTAGATGTGGGAGGAAAGGGAAGAAAAGAAATAACAATTACATTTGTAAAATTACACATCTACCCATTAGTTATAATCTGCTGTAAAATAAATAAGGGTATATTTGTAAAAATGACGTTTTCCTTTCTTCTCTCCTGACATGAAAATAAAATTTTCTTTTCTTCTCGTTTCCTCTCCTTACTTTTCTTTTCTTTCTAGATTCAAGAACATAGCGTAAGAGAGGGTTATTTAGGAGAATAATCTTATGACAACTCTTGTAAATTCATGACATTTTAACAGATTTAACGTTCTTTCATCGTGATCACAAGGTCAATTTCGCATGTACAAAGACATCCGCTTTGGAAGTTGATTAGATTTACTAATTATGTTTATGATTGCAGGCGATCAAATGATATTTTTCTTCTTGAATGTAATCGAGGGGATTGGAGTTCTGCTAACGTTTAAACCGTTTTTGATCTCAAACCATTACTAGAAGGGAGCATTCGAATCAACAATCTATACGAGAGAGATCTTAATTATTCTTTGTGTATTTACGCCAATGGCTATTCGTTTCGGTCGATATGTCGTATAAGTTGGTGTGAAAGGGGGTTTAGCATTATAGGCATTGAATTTGTTTAGGTTTTGGATATCAGGGTTATAACAAGTTCAAAGTATAATCTCAAGCAAAGGGGTGGGCTTCAATTCTTATTTTTCCCATTTTCTTGATAAATAAATCTAAGGCTGGTTGTTTGTTTGTTTTAATATACAGTTAGTTGGATCTGAGATAGTCCAAAAACATTACAAAAGAACCGTTCAGATTAAAAAAAGTAACATCGATATCATTTTCAACTTCAACCTAATAACTCGACTTTTTTTTATCGTTCATTAGTCATCCAATCCAATCCAACCTAAAATTTTATTTTTTTTAAAAACTATTTATATAATCTTTTTACTATCTGCAATTAATTTTTAAGTTATTTTAGGCTATAAAAAAGTATACAAAACTACTTCATATTTTAAAACTGTAATTATAATTATAAAAAAATATATTGGTGTGATAAAAATATATTAATATTGGTTTTTATTCATAGATGATTTAAAAATTAAGATATTTGATATACATTTTTTCTAAACAGATTTTTTTAAATTCACATTTTTAATTTATCTAATGCCACCTTGACACTTGGCATGGAGTGGTTTACAATATTTCATAATCCAAATTCACACCATGATCACATGCTCCTTTTATTTTATTTTATTTTTCTTTATTCACTTTGGACCACTTATCAAATCACGTTATTGTTACTTTACTGAATGAATATGATAAGAACAAAAAATCTTATCAGGTAAGAGCGAGACAAAAATCAAGAGTTTTACTTGATAAGTGAGTGCGATGACTCTTATCACATTTAACGCTTACCGGGTAATTGTTGCATACAATGCCGTTTTAGTAGACTAAAATCTTACTCGGTAAGTAAATGATAGTGTTGAATTTTACCGGTAAACACTTATCGAGTGAGTGTTTAGTAAACAGTCCTTTTATTTTATGTTATTGTTGATCATATAATAAGTAAAGTTGGTATTTTTATTAGTTATTTGGTATCAATATTGCAGCTGCTTTTGTATTCAAATATTATATATATATATATATATATAGGGTCAGGTTCAAATGTTAACCAAAGTTTTTGTGTTAACTTTGTTAACCGATCTTGACCATTAGATCTTTCAATAAACGGTTGTTATTAATCATGATAAAACTTATTTTTTTTAAATTCAAAATTTCATAAAAATAAGTGAACAAAATTGAAAATAGGTAATTTTATTTTTTATGTAACTTTCATATCATTAATTGGGACTTACAAAATCAAAAAATCTCATGATTTTTTTGTTAATGTAAGAACCATATGAACACAACTATATATACATGAATCATTGTGTCAAATACGAACAAAAAATTGACATATATATGGACTTGGACTGCATAACATTTATGAACACAATATGAACATAATAAGAATAGTTGCTATACGAAAGAAAATAAATAAAAAACAGGTATTAATACAATATGAACAGCTTGTGAACAATAGTTCCTTCATCAGAACATATTCAGGAGCGATCCTTCGTCAAATGGAGTTTTATACATGTATTGTATCCACACCGTTTAAGGTTCGTATTACGGTATCTCCTCTCGCCGGACTGAAGAGCCATAGAATCAAAATACTTTTTATTTGGTATTCTTTCCCTACTAAATACAAACCATTTTGTTTGTATGTCTCCGTTCTTGTTTGTTTTTTGGCATGAAGATAAACATCAAACCGCATTGTCCGCGTACGTCCTGTACATCTTTTCCGCTTCATTTATTGATACGAATTGTGTGTTGATCTTTGGTTTAAGCTCGTCATCAACATTGGGGATAAAATATTTGCTTCCATTTGAGCACTCTCCGACATCGTACTCCGTTTCATGTTCGAAGGGTGTAAGTATATGAACATCTGTTGATACCATCATAGTTAGTAAAATCAATGAATATTAATATTACATAATTGGAGTAATCAACTCCAAAAACCAGAAAATAGATTTATTTGGTGCGAGTTAGAACAATCATTAATGACCATGAGATGATTAATGTGAACAACAGGTGAGATCTATTTGGTTCGAGTTTACAAGCTGTTCATAGACTAAAAATAATTGACATGAACATATATGAACAAATTGTGTATAAATTTATTTGGTGCGAGTTAGATCAATCATTAATGACCATGAGATGAGTAATGTGAACATATATGAACAAGTGAGATCTATTTGGTTAGAGTTCACAAGTTGTTCATAGACGAAAATAATTGACATGAACATATATATGAACAAATTGTGAACATGATCAAGCCTGTTGGGTCTGAATTTCAGTGTTAAGTTGTATTCGTCTTGAAAGTTTACAATTGTCTATAATTGTATAGATATCATGTTTGACTTTGTATGTGTAGTTTGACTTTGACTAGAAGGGTTTTAATTTGACCCTATATATACATTTGTCTTTAGTGGAATTAAAAGAGAGCTTTCATTGTAAAACATTACGTTCATATTGAGAGTTTATAAACTTTGACCAGATTGACATTTCCTCTCATCTCCTTCATCGTGTTCTTGAATGATATTATGATTCTGCCATTGATTCATGAAGATTACTGAAGATTGATCAACTTGTGGACTCACATTTGGTATCAGAGCAGATTATGTAAGAAATCTTGAGAAGAAATCAGAGATTTGAAGAAATTTTTTGAAATTTTTTCTGAAGTTCATAATTTTCATCTAGTGTTAATCATCTTTTAACCATTTTTGATCCCCATTTTTTTTTAATCTTTATGTTTTGATGTTATAAATATGATCGAAATGTGCGGAATTGGTCTGTGAATCGTTGTTATTCACAACGTTTTATGATTTGATCATTATTTTTCAAGATTTGATCAAATTTGTGGATTTTAATTTTTTTGGTGTTCTTGAATTTTTTTTCAAAAAGGTTGTTTTTGATCCAAAATTCTGCTAAAAAGTTGTTGATTTTGTGTTTTAGACTTGTTTTTAGTCAGATTATATTAGTTTTCATCGCACACATGATGACCGGATTGAAGACTTGGCAAATTTTTGGACTTAAAATCGCTCAAAGGCTTACCCATATTAGGCTCTAACTCGTACAAGGCCATATCCGGATTAGTCTATATCGCTCCACTCCTTGACCGATTTAAGCCTTCATCGCTCAACAACCTTCTCCGTGCACCTTTTCATCCGATTTAGTTGAACCTCGGACATAGCCTCGTCTAATTTAGTTTCCTCGGCCAAGCGGGAGTCATCTCTTTTCCGCACACAAGGTCACACGGACTTGTGTTCCTCGCATGTCCTCGTTAATACTATCACCCGGCTACCAACCTCAGTAAATACTTAGTCGCGATCTTGATTTTCTCTAAGCCAAATCCGAACACTGCCTTGTCCGGATTTAACTTTTCTCGGCAGCGACTACTTTTTTTTTTTTTTTGTATCCGGTTTAACCAATCATCGGCCAACCCCGCTCATAACCTTATCCGAGCTCGTATCCGAACTCGGTCAGCGACCATCTTTTCTCGTGTCCGGATATCTTAATCGGCTAATTGACTTAGTTTCCTCGTGACCTTCCTCGGTAACAGGGTGTCCGGATTAATCATCCTCGGTCAAGCGGTTTATTTTTCTCGGTCACTACTTGGTCGCGACTAGAAGTTTTCCCGCATCCATATCCGGTCACTCCCTTGTCCGTATTTGACATTCCTTGGCCAACTATTGTTTTTCTCGGTAACCATCTTACCCGGATACATACCTCAGCCAAAAGACTTAGGGGCCGTTTACTTAAATACTTAATCGGTAAGCGTTTACCGTTAAGAGTCAACACTATAATTTATTTTATCGGGTAAGATTGTAATACATCAAAACGTATATTATGCAACAATTTACCTGGTAAGCGCTTACCCGGGTAAGAGTCGACACCCTCATTTACCGGGTAAGACTCTCCATTCTTATCATAGCTCTTACCGGGTAAGATTATTGCCCCTTGCTATGTTCATCCAGTAAGAAAAATTGTCAGTAAGTACTTATCGGGTAAGCGTTTAGTAAACAACCCCTTACATTTTTCAAGCCTTTGTCCATTTTTTATTCCACTTGGCTAATTTTCAACTTTTTGTCTGATTTTTGAGCATACTTTGATAAAAATTATTATTTTCAAAACTCAATTTCATTCATATTAGATTTTATCAGTGTTTTTCTGATTTTCATGTTTTACTTGATTTTTCTTCAAATTCTCTGATTTTTTAAAAGTTTAACTGTTTTGAACTGTTTTGAGATTTTTTGAACTGATTTGTGTCGTGTAAACTGTTTTTGATCAATTTTAATTGTTTTTAACAGCTTTTGGCTGTTTTTACTGATTTTTAACTGTTTTCACTGATTTTCTTATTTCTGAACAGTTTTTGAGCTTTTCTGATATTTTTTGAGCTTATGGATTTAATCTGAAAGATGTTGTTGGATTTTTGATTTCTTTGACTGATTTCTACATTGCATTAGATTCTTTGATCAATCGCAAAATTTTTGAAATGACAGTTTATCTTGAAAAGGATAATAGAGAACTGAGAGTTAAGATTTCAGAGTTGGAAAAGAGCACAAAGGACTACAAAGATAAATATATAACTATATTTTATGAAAATCATGCAGATAAGGAATTTATTAAGGATCTGCAAAGAGAGAATAGAGCTTTGAGAGAAAATTCTGAAGAAGATTTATCGTATAAGGTTAGTGAACTTGAGAAAGCCTTGGATGCAGTAAGAAAAGAGTGTGATGAAAAATTGAAAACTTGGAGTAAATCAAATCAAGATCTGTTTAATAAACTCCAAGAAGTTCAAAGTGAACTAAATGCTAAGAGAAACTCTCCAAGTAGGAAACATACCGAGACTGAGGACTTAACTGAGAAATTTCATAAGTCTGAGAATGATGTGATTGAGATTTGAGATTAGAAAATTACTGGAATTAGAGAAGAAAAAAGTTTTGAGGAAAAGAGTTTAAGCACTGAAAGAATAGTTTTTGAGAAAGAGAAGAAGAGAATGATCGAAGTAGAAAAACGGTTTGGTACTGAACGCATATCTTATGAGAATAAGATCAACTCTCTAGAGCTGAATGCTAAAATGCTATTGAATCAAATCTCGGATTTTGAGCAGCTAATCATCTTGGAACGAG